GACAACACAAATTCACCAATAATAACTACATATTTATATATAATATATGAACTTTAGATATAATATGAACTGAAATGTTTGAGTGTGCGAAGTTTTAAAAACAGTCTGGTCACCGGTTACGATATTTAAAGGGTGTTTTTTCAAGTCAGATAGAACTTTAAATTGTGACAAGTAAAAAAGCTGTAAGTTCGGCCGGGCCGAACTTTTAATACCCTCCACCATTTGGTACAAATTTGGCAATTTACAAAAAAAATAAAATAAATAAATAAATAAATAAAATAAAATAAATCCTTTAAAAATTCTGTTAAAATCTTAAAAATACCAAATGTCTATACGACGACGTATACCTGCATAGGCAACTTTTGTCATTAGTTATTACAACATTTAAATGCGAAACTTGAAGAAAAATTTGTTTATAATGTAGCTAAAATCATGAAAATACCGAATATAGGGGGTACCGTTATATGGGGGCTATACGAAGACGTGGACCTGCACAGACAATTTTCTGGCATGGGCTGAAGTATCCATTACGAACTTCAAAAGCGAAATTTGAAACAATCCCGGTAAATAATGTCGCTAACATCATCAAAATACCGAATATCGGGGGGTACGGTATATGGGGGCTATACGAAGACGTGGACCTACATGGTCCATTTTCTGTTTTCTGCTGCAGTATCTATTACGAACTTCAGATACCAAATTTGGAACGGTTCCGTTAAATAATGTCGCTAAAATCATCAAAATACCGAATATGGGGGGGGGGGGGTACGGTATATGGGGGCTATACGAAGACGTGGACCTACATGGCCCATTTTCTGTTTTCTGCTGCAGTATCTATTACGAACTTCAAATGCCAAATTTGAAACAATTCCGGTGACTAATGTCGCTAAAATCATCAAAATACCGAATATCGAGAGGTACCGTTATATGGGGGCTATATGAAAACTTGGACCTACATGACCCATTTACGAACTTAACCTGCCTACTGGCAAAATATACATATGTGCAAAATTTTAGCCTTCTATCTCAATTTGTTCGAAAGATAGCGTGATTACAACAGACAGACGAACAGACAGACAGACAGACAGACACACAGACAGACAGACAGACACACAGACAGACAGACGGACATGGCTAAATCGTCTTAGAATTTTACGCTGATCAAGAATAGTATTTCGATCAATAGAGTATTTCGAGGAGTTACAAACGGAATGACAAGATTCATATACCCTCCATAGTATGGTTGAGGCTATAAAAAGTAACACAAAAAATTAAATTTTGATGAAACTTTTTATACCCCCCACCATACTATGGAGGGTATATTAATTTTGTCATTCCGTTTGTAACTCCTCGAAATATTCATGTCAGACCCAACAAAGTATATATATTCTTGATCAGCGTAAAATTCTAAGACGATTTAGCCATGTCCGTCTGTCTGTCTGTGTGTCTGTCTGTCTGTCTGTCTGTCCGTCTGTCTGTCTGTCTGTTGTAATCACGCTATCTTTTGAACAAATTGAGATAGAAGGCTAAAATTTTGCACACATGTATTTTTTCCCAGTAGGCAGGTTAAGTTCGTAAATGGGCCATGTAGGTCCAAGTTATCATATAGCCCCCATATAACGGTACCTCCCGATATTCGGTATTTTGATGATTTTAGCGACATTATTCACCGGAATTATTTAAAATTTGGCATTTGAAGTTTGTAATGGATGCTACAGCCTATAACAGAAAATTATATATGCAGGTCCACGTCTTCCTGTAGCCCCCATATAACGGTACCCCCCGATATTCGGTTTTTTGATGATTTTAGCGACATTGTTTACCGGAATCGTTTCAAATTTGGTATTTGGTATGGTATAATGGATACTTCATCCAAAGTCAAAGAATGAGCCATGTAGGTCCACGTCTTCATATAGCCCCCATATAACGGTACCCCCCGATATTCGGTATTTTAATGATTTTAGCGACGTTATTTACAGGGATTGTTTCAAATTTCGTATGTGAAGTTCGTAATGGATACTTCAGCCCATGCCACAAAATTGTCTGTGCAGGTCCACGTCTTCGTATAGCCCCCATATAACGGTACCCCCCATATTCGGTATTTTGACGATTTTAGCTACATTATAAACAGATTTTTCTTCAAATTTCGCATTTAAATATTGTAATAATTTATGACAAAAGTTGCCTATACAGGCCCACGTCGTCGTATAAGCATTCGGTATTTTTAAGATTTTAGCAGAATTTTTAACGGGTTTTATTTTTTGGAAATTGCCAAATTTGTACCAAATGGTGGAGGGTATTAAAAGTTCGGCCCGGCCGAACTTACAGCTTTTTTACTTGTTTTATTTGTTGCAGTATACTCTGACAAATCATCATGAATAGACTCACGCTTGAACAACGCTACGAAATTATCCAAATTTACTTTGAAAATCAGGCTCTAGAGCAGTTGGCAATTGACCCGTTTTTTTATCACAAAATTATGTTCAGCGATGAGGCGCATTTTTGGCTTAACGGGTTTGTAAATAAGCAAAATTGCCGCATATGGAGTGAGACCAATCCACAATCGGACCTTATTTCTTCAAAAATGAGGCCGGAGCTCGCGTTACGGTTAATGGAGATCGTTATCGCACCATGATCAATAATTTCTTGTTTAAAAATTAGATGACATTGATCCGGAGGAGATGTGGAACGCAACCATGAAATCAAAATTTGGCGATAAGTTGATTTCAAGAATTGGACCTGTCAATTGGCCTCCAAGGTCGTGCGATTTGACACCTCTCGATTATTTCCGGTGGGGCTACGTGAACTCACTGGGTTATGCTGATAAACCAGCAACAATTGACGCCTTGAAGGCCAGCATTGTTCGTGTTATTCGTGACATACGGGCAGCAGTGCTCGAAAATGTGGCCAAAAATTGGACTTCCAGAATGCACTTCGTCAAGAACAATCGCGGTGCCCATATGCCCGAAATCATTTTCAAATGTTAATGTCACGTATTGATCTTTCAAATAAAAAAAATTGATTAATATTTAATTTTTTGTGTTATTTTTTACAATTGCAAGTTCTATCGGGCTTAAAAAAACACGTTGAAATGTTGTGGAGGTTACGGGACGGTGTGGACCGATGTAACCCTTTTCACAAATTGCCTTAAACGTTATACTAAAATTACGATCAATAAACTTTGGAATTTTAATTTTTGAACTTGTGGGCAAATATAACCTATTTACTCTGGATGGAAATCAGTCCCAAAATCGACATTTTTGGGGCTCTTATTCTCCAAACTGTTGACTTTTCTCTAGATTTATTGTAAATAGAAATATAAGAATTTTATTTTATTTATCGATATGGCTCATCTGTAACGTAGATGTAAGTCTGATGAGACATAACGATGATGAAATGGATTATGTGCTTTAGCCATATGGATAAATGTTCAGAAAAGGGATTTGGTTCAAACAGAATGTGGGGTCATAACGGTATATTAAGCCATAATAAATAAGGTATAAACCGGTATAGAAAGACTAAAAGTCGGGCGATGATACCCTATACTCCTTTGCTTATTTGGTGGGTCATACAACAAATAAAAAATATAACAAATCTGATGAACAATATACATGGGAGCTTTAGCTATATCTGAACCCATTTTACCAAATTTGACATACTTGTTTCTATGCTCAATTTTGTGGTAAGTACCAAATTTCGTCCCATTTGGGCTAATATTACACGCTTGTTGCACAATAAAAGGCAAATCGGACGATGATACGGGAGCTATATCCAAACCTGAACCGATGTCGGTATAATTTGAGAAAGGTATTTCTGCGCTGTACTTGATATATTTCCTCAAATATCATTGTTACAGATTGAATATTACGGCTGCGGAGGACAAAAATATCAAATCGGATGATCGATATATAGAAGCTATAGCTATATCTGAACCGATTTCTATCAAATTTGACATACTTTTTTCCAGTAGATGCAAAATTCCATACTATTTGGGCTGAATGAAACATATATTTACATGGGAGAAATAAGTATATCTGAACCGATGTTTATCTAATTTGACAGTCTTGATTCTATTTAAAAAAATCTTTTATATTTGGTATATACGAGAGCCTGCTTACGCAATATTTGCAATTCAAGCAAGCGCTTCGCCGGGAATTGGCCAAAATACCGCAGAGCAACATTCGAGCGGCGTGTGACGGCTTGGTTGGCCATTAAGTGACCAATTCGAACAAATCTAAACTTATTTCAAAACTTGATGCTATTTCCGACATTTTTTTGCTTTCATTCAATAAAATTAAAAAGAAAAAATATAAAAATTTTAGCGACTGATTTTGTTGCACTTTTTTTATCTCACCCTGTAACTAGAGGTGCCGTTATATGGGGCTATACGAAAACGGTATGACCCATTTTCGAACTTAACCAGGCTACTGACAAAATATACATTTTAGCCTTCAAACTCAATTCCTTCGAAAGATATCATGATTACAACAGACAGACAGACGAACATTGCGAAATTGACTTAGAATTCTACGGTGGCCAAGAATATATACACTTTGTTGTGTCTGAAGTGAGTATTTCGAGGAGTTACAAGCGGATTGACGAAGTTAATATACTCTCCATGTGTTAGAACAACCTGTAGCGGTGGTTCTCATTTTGCACTTTAACTGAAGAAATTTTGCACAGCACTGTAACAACATTATTCTGTTACAAACAAGATTTGGTTCTCGCAAAACGTACTCTCGCTCTCTCGCCAAACGCAATTAAATGAGGGTTGGTGGTTGGCTGTGTTTGTAACACTCTGTTGTGCTGAGTTGTTTGGCTTGGGTACTGTTGTTGTTGTTGTTGTTTTTGTTGCTGTTTTCAATTTCAATTCACGCAATCCTATCAGAATTTTTTTTATAACACCAAAATCACTTGCATAATGTTGTTGAGATTATAGTATTTTTTGATTTTATGGAATTACCGATATAAAACTGCTGAAATATTGAACACTAAATTACCTTTTCTTTATTTCATAATGGGTACTCCGGTGAAATGGAATTCCAGAATAGGCTTTTATTATTCCTTAAACATATGTTAATTTTTTCTTGCAATAATATTTAATTAAACACTAAATAATTGTTGTTTTCTTTTTTTTCTCCAAGAACATTGGCTTCACGATTCTCAGATGTATTTTTCTGTTGTTTTACTTGCTTTTTTCTCATTGATTTTAGCTGGGGCGTAACTTGTTTTGTAAGAAACGATTTATTTACGTAACTACTTTTGCAGCTGTTTCCTTTGATATTCAAAGAATAATTCTATGGTTTAATGCAGGATCTGCAAAATTTCAATGCAATTTTGATTTTCATAAAATATTTTGTTTCAAGTAATTAATTTATTTAACTTTTTTTAAAAAAACATGACTTCCTTTTTGAAATCTGTTTACATAAATTTCGCATTTATTTTATTTAAGCACATGAACACATACAAACAAACACATAACAACGCGCGAATGGCCTCAGTCACACTTATATCCGGCGAAGAAGAAGAGAGAGAGAGGTATTTGGACGCGTTTTAAATTGGTGCGTTTGCAGTTGATTGCTCCCTTGAACACACTCACAAACATTCGTACATACACCGCCAAATCGAAACGACAAAATATGTTTTTTTTTTGTATTATTTTGTGTTTATTATTTGTGTATTTGTTGCGTTTTCGAACGAGTTAGACGCGCGTTAATAGAAGCGAAAATTTGCTGCATATCACCGCCACTGCTAAAAAGCGAATGAATTGTTTGCCGCTGCTGCCGCATAATCCAAAATCATTGAAACACGAACGCTGTTTCTTTTTTGCTCCCAATGGAGCAGTTCATTTTTGTCTTTGCTCTCCATTCTGCTCTGCTCTTGCTTGTGGGGGTTTACTGTTAACAACCAACCACTGTCAAGAAATCTCTTAGGTTCTCTTTCGTCCAAACATGTGGGGATACACTTTTGCTAGTATTTGTTGCTTGTGATGGGTTAGTTGGCTGGTTGGCGTCAATGAGTTACTATGGCTTTACTCATACTCGCAATGTTACTGTTGTTGCTGGCGTACGACACGACGACGATTATGTCACAGACCTAACCCAGCAAATGTACAAACACATACATGTATGTATACGATTTCGAAACGCGCTTACATAGTATTGGGGCACAGTAGTTTAGGTTAGGTTAGTTTTCAAATGCGCAACAGCTAGGACCCCTCATTTTCCGTGACATAAACACAAGCTAATACGCATCCCAGCAAAAACATCCAATACCACATATCGAGCTTCCTAACCATTTTTTGGCAATGGTAACTACTTCTAAATCAACCTACTAACCCATTACTTTAACAAGGATATGTCGCCCGAAATAAGTTGTTATCGTTTGGCCATTAAATGCCAACAAAAATTGTTGATCCTCTATGGAGTAGGTTCCGAAAGAATGGGCCATTTCGTATGATGACAGGTTTGGACTATATTGGTTACTTCCTTCATTTTTATACCTTCCACCATACTATGGAGGGTATATTAACTTTGTCATTCCGTTTGTAACTCCTCGAAATACTCATGTCAGATTTTAGCGTCGTTATTCACCAAATTTTTTTTCCAATTACGCATTTAGAGTTCGTAATGGAAACTCGAGTCTGTGACAGAAAATTATCTATGCAGGTTCACGTCTTCGTATATGCCCCATATACCAGTACCTCCTTATATTTGGTATTTTGACGAGTTTAGGTACAATACTCACCGAAGTTGTTTGAAATGTCTTAACGTAATGGATGCTACAGAATATGACAAAAAATTGTCTACGCAGATTCAGGTCTTCGCACAGCTCCGATGTAACGGTTCCTCCCTATATTCTATACTTTGATGATTTTAGCTACATTATTCGCGTTTATTTCAAGTTTCGAATTTGAATTTGGTAATGACTCATGACAAATAATGCCTGTGTGGGTCCACGTCGTATAGGCACCAATATAACGGCAATATTCAAAGTTCGGCCCGGCCGAACTTACTGCTTTTTAACTTGTTTTATATGAGATATGTAATAATTTTAAGAAAATGTTAACATGTGTGTGAGGTACCATGTATAGTCGACCGAACGATTCCGTTTTCATGCTTCATTTTATACAAATAAAAATTTTGGTGTGCGAAATCATAAATTCCATATTCATCTCACATTTCTGGTTTTTTTGCAAGCATTAAAAATTGTGACCCCCTGAGAATGCGGCATTCGCATATATATTTCATCTTCACAACAGATATTATATTGGCAAAAATTTTTGTATGTGTGAAATTTGAAGAGAGTTGGATGCGTATTTCGCTTCCTTTGAGTGTTTTTTTTTTTTTTTTTTTGAAAATCTTGAAACCTATTTGGGGAGGTATCAGAAGAAATGGTCCGATCTCTACCATCTTTATAACAGATCTTGTGTTGATAGAAATATTGAGATGATGGAGTTGTATGTTTACTTCGCGTTTTATAAGGTTCATAGATATTCAAAATTTTGACCCGTTGTGGGAGAGGTACCAGAAGGAGTGGATCGATATATTCCATCTTTACTCCAGACCTTGGGTTTATAAAAATAGTGATATGTGTAATTCGAATGCAATCGGACTCTTACGTCAGTTTTTATAAAAGTTATAATTATTCAAAAATTTGACCCTTTTTCAGGCGAGGTACTTGATGGAGCGAGCCGATATGGTTCGTTTTCACAATTGAACCCGCACTGGAAAAAATATTGGCATTTGCAAAGTTTGATAAAAGTCGAATGATCCTTTCTTGATCTAAATTATTTTCTATTAAAATGTTGACATTTTGTGGGGAAGGTACCAGAAGAAGTGGACTGATATTGTCCATCTCCGAACTCGATCTAAGTTTGACAAAAATATTACGATTTACGATATTTTGAGAGTTTTCGTGCGACCATCCAGCCAGATAGACGGACGGACATTGCTAGATCAACCTCAAATGTCCTGAAACGGATTTGATCCAAAGAGTTATTTCGATAAGGCACGTTTTGGCCATATCAAATGATACATATCTTCTCTAGCCATATGGCTGAGGGTATAAGAAATATTTACCTATTTATGGAATTAATGTTCCTTTTTTTACGAATTTTACTGTTTTTTTACATGTTCAATTTAGGGCGATTTCACAGCCTGTTTTTGTAACAATATTTATTTTATTCGTTCGAAAATTTCTAGACTACACAACATAGTGGTGAGGATATTATGTCATTGTGCATTTGTTTGTAACATAAACCTGCATTTTGGCACATCCAACCGAATTCAGTCTGGAAGCAAGTACATCAAACTTAGTGAAGTTCGGTTCAGATATAGCTATAGCTCGTAAATATATGTTTCATCCAATTTGATATTTAAGTCCCTCACATGCGTAATATGCACTCCACAACAATGATATTTGATACAGGACATCAGATACAGGTCGAAAATACCTCTGCCAAAATTTATCGAGATTGGTTCAGATTTTTATATACATTCGATATACATATTCATACGATTTTACGGTTATTGTCCACCACACAGGGTGAGGGAAAAATAATGCAAGAAAGTCAAACGCCATCATTTTTACATTTTTATTTTTAATGTTACTCAATGAAAGCTAAAAATATCGGAAATAGAATAAGTTTAGATTTTTTTGAATTGGTCAACTTTGGCAAGAATTATGGCCTTTAAACGGCCAATGAAATCGTCACACGATGGCCGAATGTTGCTCAGCGGTATTTTGGCCCATTCCCGGCGAAGCGCTTGCTTGAGGTGATCGACACTTTGGTATTTTTTAGTGCCAACCTTGCTTTCCACAATACTCCAGACACAACGGATTTGTATCCGGAAATTTGGATTTGTATCCGGAATTTTTTTTCGAGGAACCTCATTTTGTAAACATTCTTGGGTGGGTAGAATGTCCAAGATCTGCGGCAAAAGTGTTTGCGTGCCCAAGGCTTTAATACACACTCCAGAATATTTTCGAGATAATGCTCGGCATTTATTCTAATGCCACGGTGGGTCGATTAATACGAGCCGAGATCGACCATCGGCTGTTATGGCGGCCCACACCATCACCATGTCCGGCGCTTGAGTTCTGGTGGCCAACCGAAGGTGCACATTTTCAGCTGACCTCTTTTGTAAGTAAACACCATCATTTTGTTTGTTCACAAACTGCTGGATAACGAATATTTTCTCATCGGAGAAAACCAAATTCCACTTAAGGTTTTCCAGCCAAATATAAAGAAATCACACTATCACGCTTAAATTCCATCACGAATAACTTTATTCTGAAAAATTCTCACTAAAATGCTTTTGTAATGAGCTGTAACGGGAATAATTTTAACAACAGTCGGACGAGTGGCTTAGGCTGACAGCAGTCTGAAGTTGGTTGCAGTTTTTGCATCTCACCCTGTATATTCAAAAAATAGATGGATCGGTCATATGAGCTGGACAACTCATTACAATGTATTGCAATCATACTACATTTTAGTAGAAAATGTCAACTGTTCAACTGCTATCGAATTTTAAGTTGATCGAACTAAAATGAGTGCTGCTAAGCAAAAAACACTGTGCCATACATATTAGAGAGCGTTTTACATTTCGTTCAATTATTGCATAGCACACCATTTACTCGAGTTTGGCTTTATGTGGGTATGTATATGTTACGTCACATTGGTTGGTTGTACTCAATGTAGCTTTGAAAGCACTCTTCAGTTACATGTTGTGCCGCGCTGATGGTGCGTCACTGTTGTGTAAAGAGAAACAAATTGCGGTTGGTTGGTTATTAGACAGCTCCATTGGTATGGCTTGTGTGAATGTTGTCATTGTGAAATATCATCGTGAGTAATTCACCGCATTAAATGCCAAGAGCTTCAATTTGCTGCTCAATTCTCGCTCTATTTAAAGATTTTTTTTGTGGGTGGAAATCGACAGTATATCTTCTATGGTCTCCTTTAACAACATTCGAGTGGAATTTGCAGGCAAAATTGTAATAATAAACGACTGCCACAATCAACAGTTATTTTTATACCCTCCACCATACTATGGAGGGTATATTAACTTTGTCATTCCGTTTGTAACTCCTTGAAATAATCATGTCAGACCAAATAAAGTATATATATTCTTGATCAGCTTAAAATTCTAAGTCGATTTAGCGATGTCCGTCTGTCCGTCTATCTGTCTGTCTGTCTGTCCGTCTGTCTGTTGTAATCACGCTATCTTTCGAACTAATTGAGATAGAAGGCTTAAATTTTGCACACATTTTTATTTTTCCAAGGGGCAGGTTCGTAAATGGGCCATGTAGGACCACATTTTCATATAGCCCCCATATAACGGTACCTCCATATATTCGGTATTTTGACGATTTTAGCGACATTATTCACCAGAATTGTTTCAAATTACGTATTTAGAGTTCGCAATGGAAAAGAAAATTGTCTATACAGGTCCAGGTCTTCGTATAGGCCCCTAATATCAATACCTCCCTATATTCGGTATTTTCACGATTTTAGGTACGATACCCACCGAAATTGTTTGAAATGTCGTATATGAAGTTCGTAATGGATGCTATAGCCTGTGACAGAAAATTGTCTATGTTGGTCCAGGTCTTCGCACAGCTCCGATATAACGGTACCTCCCTATATACAATATTTTGATAATTTTAGCTACATTATTCGCCGTTTATTTCAAGTTTCGTCAGAGTACCGAAAAATGGCAGAACGTGAACCTATACAGGCAATGATCTGTTATAGTAGCTATGGGTTC